ACACGATGGATAAGGATGTATTTGGTGGTTGACGARATCACCAATGGTCCAATCAGTATCGGATAAGCTGTATGAGAAATAAAGCATTTGAAATACTATATGAATTACCTCCATGAAATGCAAAGCTGTCTGGTTTTCCGCCRCCGCTTAGAGAGACAGTAAAGCTGCTGTACTGGTCAATAGTCCAAGACATTCCTGGACTGACGTGGACAAATACTGACAAAAACTTGTTTGGTAAAAGTCTTATTGATCCAGTAATAGGAACAGAAATTCTACCTTGACCCGAATACTGAATAGAATGCAGTCCCGAAGATTTGTCAAGCTGACCGTCRACAGCTATCATCACTTGTATCGGTTGCGCAATTCTACCATTCAAGTTGATAACACACGATACGATGTAGGTACCCTGTAAAGGAACTACGTATCGACCACTGACTGCATTAAATGMTCCATCAAAAGAAAACAAACCATTTGCTAAGTTTCCAGTTTCCCAGCCACCAAGCTCGTTCCATCCYGCAGTCGATATAGTTTTACTTGAACCAAATATAGCTGACATTCCTGGCCAATCCTTTTGAATCATGGCAATAGAGAAGAGGCTACCGGCTTGTGGTATAATAGAACTAGCACCGTCCTTATAGATGCAGACTGTGACCGTGTCCCCGCCAGAAAGAAACAGAACTCCATTTAGGTAAAGTGATGTCATTAACGAGATCGGTTTCTTAGACACGATTGATGCATCAGAGAACCGAGAAGATGTCTTCTTATTAATAATGATTAAAAGCCAAATATTTTCCGACTGTTTTTCTGAAGTTGATTGTAAATTAACCAGTGCAGATATCAAGTAATTTCCTTGAGTCTGAACCTTATAACTCACATTATCTGTCATCATTGTCGTTGGAGAGGACTTAAAATAAACACTTGAGCCTTCTGTCGTCCAACCGCTGATGTTATAAAGTCCAGCGGTTGASAGTGTTGGAGCAGGTGCATTAAGTCGTTTAGATTCGCTATGCGTCTCGTGCTTACTTAGATAAAACAACGAGTAACCGCTGTCTTTGATGACTTTATGCGGGTTATCAAGGGACMGAGTCCTTATATCTATACAGTCTCCTTTCCTCAATCGAAAAACACCTCCAAAACTAACAGTTCGCCTCTTTCTCCCTGTACTAAGCGCTTCGGAAATAACAGTTTGGTTTCTTAGAAAAATTCCAACGGAGTTATTAAGGGACTGCAATGGATCAAGCAGGATATTTCCTTGTATGGAGTAAAYTCCAACACAACTTGTACAGTACGTTCCTATAGACTCCGAAAAGCCTGATTGGAGCTCAAAAGCACTGGTCCACCCCTCCATCCGATGCCAATTTGAGGCTGCTACTTCATCAGAGTCACGTGACGAAACAGCTTGGAATGCTGGGTAAACTGTCAATGAATAAAGCAATTGCACAAAAAATGTACTTTCAGGTAAGATTGTCACGGCTGAACCACTCTGTATTACAATGTGCACAGACAGTGATTCTTGTGSCGCTAACTGCACAAGTCCAGAAGCAGTTATACTGCTGTTTGTAAATTCAAAACAGGTTAAACCAGTTTTCCGTTTAGAGTCATTATTGACCAATATTGAYGCCTTTAGGCTTTTTTGAATTGTTGAATGAAAAATCAGCGATGTTGAAACGTAGTAAACGCCCCCGACAGCAACTCTGACGTCTGAGAACRCCGTGCTTGAAGCATCGTGCGAATACAGCCCTGGTCTTCCTGTGGGATTCCATCCATTAATCGTTTTTGGTTGGTTAAATGACTGGGACTGCTTCAGACTACTGTAAAYACCTACTTCAACGAACCCTGTGGGATGAATACTTTATTTTAGAACCTTGTTTTTCTATAGTTTTTAATATTGAAAAAACAATTGAAATAACAATCCACGTTATGGTTGGTAAACAATCGTGCATTACATCATGGATTACATAAAAGGGGGCAGTAAGGGGGGTCAAAAACGCATTGCAATTTGAATCTTAACACAATAAATTAATATAAAATAACAATTGGAGTCATGGTTGGTAAACAACCAGAGAGACTAAATAAAAGGGGCAGCAGGGGTCAAAACTTTAGTGAAATTTTACAAGCCGACGKAACTTGGACATGACATCACTGGAAAAAATTGCGCGCTTTATAGTAAAGGTTGTAAACTTGATGTAAATTTGATGTCAAAGTGACGCCAAGTGTCAAAAATACTGTAAATTTGATGTAAATGATTCCCATTAAATTTACAGAATTTTGGACACTTACGAGTCATATTTACATCAAATTTACAACCTTTAAACCGCGCGATTTTTTCCAGTGCAGTGCTAGTKATAGTGTTTTCTGATTAATTGCTCAACTAGAATTTATTAGCTTTCTTTCTCTCTTGCATCCTTTTCTTACCTATTCTTGCTTTCTCTTTTTCTAGATCTTTTTTTCTTTCTTTTTATTAGTAAGTTCCGTTACAAGACTGAACAAATCAATCGAAAGGTGAATATATTGATATTCCCAAAGCCTAAAAGTCGCAATTCGAATCARTGCTCAGGATTGTGAGAAAAAAGGCTCGCTCAAGAATTTTCCGTCTTTAGGAACTTTAACTGAAATCGATCCACTAAAACAACAACACAAGCTTCAGTTCGTTAAGTGAAGGTCAACTGAGACATACACAAAAGTGCTCTGCATGCATGTAATTATTATTCACTTCACTTTGYTCAGATACTTAGTAATGCAAAAAACATGAAATTAAAAACAGAAAGACTATATAGTTAATTAAAAAATTGCATTGAATGCTCTGTTAATTTTGGTRTATTACATTACATAATAATTCCTAACCAAGTCAAGACAGGCAGACGGAGACGGAATCATTCCAATCAAATATAAATGTAAACAATGAAAGCTAAAGCTATTTGAATCTCAAATTTATCCTTGTATTGATTTACTAAATAATTCTTCCGCTGWAACTTTTAACAGCAAAAATTTCATAGAGGCTAGCTACATTGTAGATTAATATCGAGCTTTCGAAATGAGGACAAGTTGCAGTAGTTAAAATTAGTTAACAATCTTTAAACTACTCGATCAATCTAAACTTACCAATCACTGTCTTAACAGCAARCAGTAATAAGATGTAAAGAAACATCGTGTATAATCTTTATAGTCGTTACTAAGAACAAATCTTCACGGATCTGGTCATCTTGTGTGAACTAGCATGACAGCCGAAAGTGACGAGTATAGACRTAGTTGATTACGAACAAGGGGGAGTGGAAAATAGCTACGTCATTATATTGATCTCTCAAAATTAAATATCATCAWCCAAGAAAATGCTTTTGGCATTAGTAATGTGTACTAAATCACCAAAAAAACATCCATTTGAAGTTTAAACGTCTCAGAGTAGAAGTTTGCGCAGTGTCACGCAACAGCACCGTGACACTGAGCAGATCAYGCAACGAGAGAAATGTGAGGCATGTAAACAAAAGGTTTGATTCTTTATTGGTAGGTTTTCACATCTCKACAATTGTATGAATTCAAGTTATTTAAAATGTTCTTGATGTCAATAGCAAAACATTTCTACTGTGCATGTAGCCTAAATTAAATAAGAATTCTTCTTTCTAACAACAAAATACAAGGTTTCTGCAAAATCTTACACTGTGTTTTTCTTCTATTATTTAGTCTGATATTAAAACGACGTACCTCACTTGACACAAGCGACGCGCGCGTGTCGATATTGAACATGTTACAATTATGCCACACGTAATTAAGGCGTGAGATGGACTGAGCTGGAACAGTCTCTAAGATTCGTTTTTCTATACGCTACATCAACCCTGCGTCTTTCTAGGTCTTTCTAGTACTTCGCAAATCAACTGAACAGAGAACATTAACGGTTATAAAAAGAAATACTGCATTACGGAACACTTCGTTTATCAGATGTGTTTTGTTTGTCTTTCTTCTGGTAATGAGAGGTGATTACAGTCTTATGAGCAGAATGGATTAATTCTTTTCGTTACTGGTCTATAATTCTATCATCAACAATTTAGTTGACATTTACTAGAGTATAATCCATCTAGGTGCTCGCTATAAAACGCTGCGCGCTACATGAATGTATATAAGTGTATGTAAGTACACCCTTAAGATATAATATATAAACGCCTATAACTGGAGAGGGACCACTTTACTGTGTTTCTGTGGTATGGGCGGGGAATCCACCCCTCCGCCTTATATTACACATGGAGATCTCCAGGGAGAAGGTCGAGAAAAAGAAAAGAGTTGAGACACAACCCGCCATCCCTCCCCCCTCCATTCCTAACGACTAATTGCTATTTTTTTCTGCATTACCCCCTCCCCCTGGAGACGTAATCAGAGAATTGACATTAAGAGTATTGTGTGTTATGCTAAAGTCGTGAGCCTGCATTTTTCCCTTTCCTCAGTGGATTGTGCAACGGTGGCTTGGAATATGAATCCAACTCCTGAAACAGAAATAAGGCTTGTTTATCAAGAAAGTCAATTCTTCAATACTATAGCAATTAAAATGAGCCATCCATGGCAAAACGGAGTTGATCTTCTGTCATTTGACCCTCGGTCCCAACGAGAACGAGAATGATTATGAACCAATAATGACAATAACAATGATGATGATAATGATGCCACTGATTATGATAATGATTTTAACGACCTGCTAATAACAGTAGCTTGTGACCAGCGAACAAGGTTGATGTTATGACTACGATTTTTGCTATGACTRTGATTGTTGCTATGRCTRTGATTGTTACTATGACTACGATTGTTGCCATGACTAMGATTGTTGTCATGGCTGTGATTGTGGTTATAACTGTGATTATGGTTATGACTTACCGATGGAGAGTTCAAACCAGACACCTCACTGGATGGGGACTTCTGGTGAAATTTCCTGTTTACCTGCAGGCCATCGTCTTTATCGATGCTATTGATTGGCTGAAAGAATCACACGACAACAACATCACTTAAACTTATAATATATTCTTGAAATAATTAAAAAGGACCAAGTACAGTTACAAAGAACTAGAGAAAAACGAAAAACGAGAAAAAAGATTTAAAAGTTGCTACCTGAACAGTGACAACACGCGAAGTCCTTGGCATTAAACTCATTGATAATCGAGCTGAAAATACAAAAAAAAATACTGAATTAGCTGAATTGTTTTGTAGTAAAAAACAAACATACAATAATAGCCGAGGTAATTATTATGCATTGGTCAAACTCGGCCCCCCAGACTACCGGGGAGGGTCGGCATATTGATATTTAAAAGTACAATTATTGGGCGGGAAGGAATTGAAGTAACGCTTAAATCGAAGGATCTGTTTAGCCGCATTTTTGGCTTCTAAGGACCGGAAAATGCCGGACCATAGCGCGCGTTGTTGAACTTCCCGGTATTGCCCGAGGTTTTTGGGCTCGTGGTCTCAATTGTCTGAAGTTTAACTACTCGGTGTGATCTGAGAAATTCGATAAATCAAAAGTTGTACCTTTAAGTCTTACAAGTCCTGACATGCTGCTGTTAGACGATGATTTTCCCAATGTCTTTAATTTATTATCACTCTCGTTCTGAAGAATCAAACAAATCAGTGAAATCTTCCCATAATACGTAAACACATCAAATAGGTCTTACACTGTGGCTCATTGAATTGTTATAATCTCCAGACTCTTTCGACAATTGCTTCTTTTCATAGTGTCTTCTGAAGGCGAGGCGGACCTAATAACAGGCAATGATAATTTTAAGTGCTTCACTCTAGTTACAGTTTTTAGTAGTCATAAAAATATTGCTAAAGAAGAAATAAGCAAGTGTATCGTTACCTCGTTGTTAAACACAACATGCAAAAGGAAGATTAGCAAACCCTGAAATCAAACATTGAAATCATGAGGTTTTAGTAGTTGACAATGAATCAATCACCTTTCCGACTGTAAACCCAAGAAATCTACTTAGGAGAGTGCATCGGTTGATCCATAAAGAGCATGCGCAGTAGTATGATTTCTGAGACTATATCCCACATGGCTTAGTGCTTCTTCTAAGTTACCTGTAAAGAGTTTGCGATACTGAATATGTATTGGAATATCAACGTGTCTCTGTTGACGGCCAGGAGACCAAACACCCACGTGGTACCCATCAATGGCATAAGAACCAAAGCTCCTTTTATCCCAGCTCTGAGAAAAGCGAGAAAATCAATTCAAAACCCTTCTACTAACAAGTCATGGCATTTCATCATAAAATTCTTTTCGGGATGTTCCTTCAATTTCCGTATGAATAATACATTAAACTAACAATACTCCAGTTTCGATATCTTATTTGTGCAGTCTTAACCTCGCAAGTATGTTATATATATTCTTTTCAGCAGWGATCCTATTGTAATGCAAACACTCTGTGTACAAAGAAATATAATAAACATTTATGCTTGATTGAAGCTAAGTTTGCCCAGAAGAGGAAAATTCGAAACCATTCAAGTTAGAATTTTTTTAGTGACTTATGAACGTACATAATGTGCGAATGGTCTGAACTCTTCATTGTCGAAGCTGACGCTACAACAGTTTTAATGACAGCCGCCAGAATAAAGATGTTTATCTGTGAACAAAAATCACAGTTGGAAAATTAGGACTTGGAATTTTTTGTTTATTTATGTTTTTATCTTTTCCAGTAATACTTACAGCTATTATAGCAATAACTGGACCAAGGAACGCCCAAACGAAACCATCGTCAAGAGAAAGCCAGCATCTGTATTCAAAACACATTGTTTATTGTGAGAGTATGCACTCATTTTAACAACTTTTAACTCATTTTTTCCTGTGTTAGTTTCTCGATTTCATGATTTATCTCGTCATGTAGTTTCTTTAACAGGCAATATGCAACGACATCATTTTGTCATTTTGTACAGCAAAGCATGATGGTAGTTGTAGTCCTCGTACTTTTTTATGTCCACTAAAACATTCCTTTTGAAACATTTTTGCTTTAAAGCCATGTTTTTGTTTTGCTATTTCTACAAAGAAAACGTGAAAAAGGCTTTTACCATCATGCTTTGCTGCACAAAATGTCGACGTTCCAAATTGCCTAATGACTGTACTTGATAAATGCTGATTCGCAAGCTAATCTATTATATACATACACGTGATTGGTGCCATATCCGTATGGTTTGATAATGGCAGCAACTCCAACAATCAGCGCTGGTAAGCCTATAAGAACCACAGCAAACTAGGTTAGAGGAAGGACAGCAGCCGACATTTGTCATTTTGTAATTGGAAGCCTTTCGTTCGAAGGGGGGTTTGGAAGGGATGGTTTGATACTAACCCCATCCTATGATATAGTACTGTCTGATTTTGATGTTTTCAATGCCAAATACTTTGACAACTTTAAGGTAAAGGTGAACACCTTCGATCAACATCCATGTGAATGACACCATGTAGAGATAATGAAGTACGCCCGCAATGACTTTACACAGCGTCTACAGATTAAACAATATGCGTCATTCATTCAAATCACAACATATGTTGGTGATGACTAACATGCAATACCTCGTGTTCAGTTGCTTTAATTCCTGTGAGAAATAAGATCTGCGCCAGCAGTAGAGCTATTACTAAGTTCAAATGGATGCGGTGGCGATCAGAGGATAACGCCCTGTAAGAACGTTAAATTATCATCAAATACCATCAAATATGTTAATGACATTTAAGTGCTTAAATTGAGATGTTTTGTGAAGAAATTCGATGGAATGAGAATGCTACTTTTCCGGTGCACGTGGTTAGGTCAATGACATCAATGATNATTGACATTAAGAGTATTGTGTGTTATGCTAAAGTCGTGAGCCTGCATTTTTCCCTTTCCTCAGTGGATTGTGCAACGGTGGCTTGGAATATGAATCCAACTCCTGAAAAAGAAATAAGGCTTGTTTATCAAGAAAGTCAATTCTTCAGTACTATAGCAATTAAAATGAGCCATGGCAAAACGGAGGTGATCTTCTGTCATTTGACCCTCGGTCCCAACGAGAACGAGAATGATTATAAACCAATAATGACAATAACAATGATGATGATAATGATGCCACTGATTATGATAATGATTTTAACGACCTGCTAATAACAGTAGCTTGTGACCAGCGAACAAGGTTGATGTTATGACTACGATTTTTGCTATGACTGTGATTGTTGCTATGGCTGTGATTGTTACTATGACTACGATTGTTGCCATGACTAAGATTGTTGTCATGGCTGTGATTGTGGTTATAACTGTGATTATGGTTATGACTTACCGATGGAGAGTTCAAACCAGACACCTCACTGGATGGGGACTTCTGGTGAAATTTCCTGTTTACCTGCAGGCCATCGTCTTTATCGATGCTATTGATTGGCTGAAAGAATCACACGACAACAACATCACTTAAACTTATAATATATTCTTGAAATAATTAAAAAGGACCAAGTACAGTTACAAAGAACTAGAGAAAAACGAAAAACGAGAAAAAAGATTTAAAAGTTGCTACCTGAACAGTGACAACACGCGAAGTCCTTGGCATTAAACTCATTGATAATCGAGCTGAAAATACAAAAAAAAATACTGAATTAGCTGAATTGTTTTGTAGTAAAAAACAAACATACAATAATAGCCGAGGTAATTATTATGCATTGGTCAAACTCGGCCCCCCAGACTACCGGGGAGGGTCGGCATATTGATATTTAAAAGTACAATTATTGGGCGGGAAGGAATTGAAGTAACGCTTAAATCGAAGGATCTGTTTAGCCGCATTTTTGGCTTCTAAGGACCGGAAAATGCCGGACCATAGCGCGCGTTGTTGAACTTCCCGGTATTGCCCGAGGTTTTTGGGCTCGTGGTCTCAATTGTCTGAAGTTTAACTACTCGGTGTGATCTGAGAAATTCGATAAATCAAAAGTTGTACCTTTAAGTCTTACAAGTCCTGACATGCTGCTGTTAGACGATGATTTTCCCAATGTCTTTAATTTATTATCACTCTCGTTCTGAAGAATCAAACAAATCAGTGAAATCTTCCCATAATACGTAAACACATCAAATAGGTCTTACACTGTGGCTCATTGAATTGTTATAATCTCCAGACTCTTTCGACAATTGCTTCTTTTCATAGTGTCTTCTGAAGGCGAGGCGGACCTAATAACAGGCAATGATAATTTTAAGTGCTTCACTCTAGTTACAGTTTTTAGTARTCATAAAAATATTGCTAAAGAAGAAATAAGCAAGTGTATCGTTACCTCGTTGTTAAACACAACATGCAAAAGGAAGATTAGCAAACCCTGAAATCAAACATTGAAATCATGAGGTTTTAGTAGTTGACAATGAATCAATCACCTTTCCGACTGTAAACCCAAGAAATCTACTTAGGAGAGTGCATCGGTTGATCCGCAAAGAGCATGCGCAGTAGTATGATTTCTGAGACTATATCCCACATGGCTTAGTGCTTCTTCTAAGTTACCTGTAAAGAGTTTGCGATACTGAATATGTATTGGAATATCAACGTGTCTCTGTTGACGGCCAGGAGACCAAACACCCACGTGGTACCCATCAATGGCATAAGAACCAAAGCTCCTTTTATCCCAGCTCTGAGAAAAGCGAGAAAATCAATTCAAAACCCTTCTACTAACAAGTCATGGCATTTCATCATRAAATTCTTTTCGGGATGTTCCTTCAATTTCCGTATGAATAATACATTATACTTTACTCCAGTTTCGAGATCTTATTCGTGCGGTCTTAACCTCGCAAGTATGTTATATATATTCTTTTCAGCAGWGATCCTATTGTAATGCAAACACTCTGTGTACAAAGAAATATAATAAACATTYATGCTTGATTGAAGCTAAGTTTGCCCAGAAGAGGAAAATTCGAAACCATTCAAGTTAGAATTTTTTTAGTGACTTATGAACGTACTTTATGTGCGAATGGTCTGAACTCTTCATTGTCGAAGCTGACGCTACAACAGTTTTAATGACAGCCGCCAGAATAAAGATGTTTATCTGTGAACAAAAATCACAGTTGGAAATTAGGACTTGGAATTTTTTGTTTATTTATGTTTTTATCTTTTCCAGTAATACTTACAGCTATTATAGCAATAACTGGACCAAGGAACGCCCAAACGAAACCATCGTCAAGAGAAAGCCAGCATCTGAATTCAAAACACATTGTTTATTGTGAGAGTATGAGCTCATTTTAACAACTTTTAACTCATTTTTTCCTTTGTCAGTTTCTCGATTTCATGATTTATCTCGTCATGTAGTTTCTTTAACAAGCAATATGCAACGACATCATTTTGTCATTTTGTGCAGCAAAGCATGATGGTAGTTGTAGTCCTCGTACTTTTTTATGTCCACTAAACATTCCTTTTGAAACATTTTTGCTTTAAAGCCATGTTTTTGTTTTGCTATTTCTACAAAGAAAACGTRAAAAAGGCTTTTACCATCATGCTTTGCTGCACAAAATGTCGACGTTCCAAATTGCCTAATGACTGTACTTGATAAATGCTGTTTCGCAAGCTAATCTATTATATACATACACGTGATTGGTGCCATATCCGTATGGTTTGATAATGGCAGCAACTCCAACAATCAGCGCTGGTAAGCCTATAAGAACCACAGCAAACTAGGTTTAAGATTAGACTGAGGAAGGACAACAGTCGACATTTGTTATTTTATAATAATAATAATAATAATAATTTAATTCTTAAAACGCATTTTAAAATCTCAATGCTTTTACAAAAATAACTATATCAAAAAATCTCAAAAATAACTATAATACATGTAAAAATGTAGAAAAATGATCGTAGAAATGTCAGGCATGGGCATAAACATTTATGTGTTAAATAGAAATGTTTTAAGTCTTTTTTTGAAAATATCTACTGATGGAGAGGTCTTGATGTCTATTGGTAAATTGTTCCACAGCTTGGGGGCACACACAGAAAAGGATCTCTCGCCAAAAGTWMTTGTTCTTGATTGTGGCACCATAAGAAGATGTTTACTATTAGATCTCAGATCTCAGATTTTTTTATCTCAGATAATTGGAAGCCTTTCGTTCGAAGGTGGGTTTGGAAGGGATGGTTTGATACTAACCCCATCCTATGATATAGTACTGTCTGATTTTGATGTTTTCGATGCCAAATACTTTGACAACTTTAAGGTAAAGATGAACACCTTCGATCAACATCCATGTGAATGACACCATGTAGAGATAATGAAGTACGCCCGCAATGACTTTACACAGCGTCTACAGATTAAACAATATGCGTCATTCATTCAAAACACAACATATGTTGGTGATGACTAACATGCAATACCTCGTGTTCAGTTGCTTTAATTCCCGTGAGAAATAAGATCTGCGCCAGCAGTAGAGCTATTACTAAGTTCAAATGGATGCGGTGGCGATCAGAGGATAACGCCCTGTAAGAACGTTAAATTATCATCAAATACCATCAAATATGTTAATGACATTTAAGTGCTTAAATTGAGATGCTTTGTGAAGAAATTCGATGGAATGAGAATGGTACTTTTCCGGTGCACGTGGTTAGGTCAAATGACATCAATGCATCAACGATTACATGGTAGATGATTACAATWATGATTACGATAACGATTGCGAAAGCAATCGTGTGAATATGATTATGATTGTAACTATGACAGTGATAGTCTCAGAGTTTATGTATCATCATCATAACTTACTCCATACTGATGAAAACAATCATAGMAATTAGCAATGTTGCTATGGAGACACCACATCCAATGTAAGTAATCAGTAACAAGGAAATCTTTTCGGCTTCTGTCAACTAAAAGGATTTTGTGAATATTACTCCATGGAATAGTTTACATTAAGGTTATAAAGAGCCTGTATTTCCMTAATAGTTCAGCTAGAGTGTACTTAAAGATTGGACAAGACTCGTTCAAATCGTTATTTACCGTTATTGGGGTGTGCTGCATTAACACTGCAAAGTTGGTGAAGTGGGTCGTSGTACAGACTGTTTGGGAAGAATTTACACTTTTGACAGAAACTCCSTCGCTGTCCCAGGAGCTGAAAACATCAATCATTGAATTACAATTTATTGTATATGACCTACTTTTTAATTTCCACAACTGGTCTTTTTAAAGATTCAAATAGTGATGYAATGCGGTACACTTCACATGTCTCTCATCGTTTTATTATCGTAAGAACTTACTTGTTATTCAAATTCCAAAAGGCGCATCGAGTTTCCTCCTTCTTCATCTTTGATTTAACCTAAAAAATTCAAAGTGAAATCAAGCCCATGAACATCTTTTTTGTTATAATCCGCTTTTCTAATTAATCTCTGTTCGTACCTGATTAACRACGAAATTTAAGGTGGCYGGTGACTGTAGTTGGATTATAGAAACACCGTTACTAAGGAGACTGCATGACATCAGCAATGACGTAACCTTGAATGTTGAATCTTTCGATTCACTTAAAGAAAAATTACGGTCAAGCATTTTACACTTATAAATATATAATATATGTGTGTAATCAGCGTTTGTAATATTTTTCATAAATTAATTGAAGGCAAAAAAGGAGAATGCATATTAACTAAATTTACTCTTGTAGAGAATGCAAATTCACGTATTCATACAATARTAAGACTTGCACGTGACCATGTTATTAGAATCAACAGACAAATGACAGTATTGAAATTATATTATACATTATTGTTACCCGAGAAGTTGCTGAAAAGAATTAGTTGGTAGACCACTTTGAATGTCTTTGAAAAAGAACACTACCATTTTGTATCCCTCTGAAAAGATAAGCCGTCACAGGAGGCCATTGTTGATCGTCCCCAAAATCAGAGATGAAATATAACAACTTAATAGTTCAATTCATAGTGACCCCATAACCAGTGTATTCTAGTTTTGCAGAATTACTGAAGCGTCATTTATAGTGAAGGAATCTCAATCTCATTGTGTATTACCTGGTGTTTTCGGTAGCGCCTTCATTGGAATATAGACATAGTCTTGTTCCGAGATAAAGCTGTTAGGTGGTAGTTTGTCGTGTTTTGGAAACCTCAATCCCTCATTCTCATCGACAGTGAATTGATTCATTTCGACAACTACAAAACAAGAAGAAACAATGAATTGTAGCCATTCGTGTGGGGCACCTGTGCTTTTCTAGTTTTTGGTGATATGGCAACAAACAAGATGGCTGATGGTATTTTTATCATAACATACGCAAGTTTCATCTTTTAAAATCGAGAAAACTGCCAAAACAATAAGAAAGCTTGATTTGTAACAGTAGCAGAGTCTTAGTAGATCATAATAAATCGCATACATGCAATAATAATAATAATAATCTTTTTTGCATGCCGAATCTTCATGTTCAAATCACAAATGCTCAAAAAGAAGATGGTGGAGAGTGAACAGAAGGAAAATGGTGGAGAACCCCGCTGGTTTGCCGTTTTACACATACCTATAGTTTTTGTAGCTGACTGAAAGAATGAAGAATTCGTAGAGCTCGATATAGATAATGCCATTCTCTCCAGAGTGTTTAAAAACTGGGGCATCTAAATTTTAACAGACAAAAGTTTTAAGCTCGAAATTCTATAACGCAATCAAATGGATTTATCGTCATTTTTTGGATAATTGTATGAATTACACTGTGTACCAATGACAGGGAATACTGACCTTTTCTGTCTCTTTCCAGGTAACAAGGTTGTCRAGACCAATGACAGTTGTCGCTATTTCCACCAAAACGTCAAAGATCTCCTGTGGCAACAACACACAAAAAAGATCTTTACAATAGGCTATCCGTGAATTGACTTCTTTCTGTAGCTTCTCTTTCCTTGATTGCCGGGTATTTTACCTAGCATATTTAGCCTGCTTGTCTACTAAGCTCTTTCTTGAATTTCCTCTTCTTGTGAAAATTGACAAAAAAAAAAGGGTGTGTTTTTCTCAGTTTTCTTTCAAAAAGTGAATTTAGGTGACACCAAGCAATCCGCTTGCATGCGCAGAATCTCTCAGACACTCTGCTTCAACTCGATTGCTTGAGTAAAAGAAAGTCTATAGCTACACTAGTTAGTTACCTACCTGCTATCTGACTTATCTAGTGAAGATCATGTATTACCTTAGTTTGTTCCAACGACGCCTTTTTGGACAAGATTGTTATCATCTCTGTGAAGTTCTCAAAGACATCAAGGTATTGCAAAAGCTCTTGCTTTGTTAGATTGTCACGTGATATATTCAGTAGGCGGTGAAGACTAACAAGAAGCTTTGCCAGGCGGTCATCAGTAACTCCATTTTTAACTATATTATCCTGCATGAAACGCGAAAAATATTGACTTTAATAAGCTTATTTGAGGTAGAGTTTTAAAGATGAGGCGCTGTTTCAAGCCTACCTTAATCGAGTCTAACTCCTGGAAAACCATGGAGAGACTAGGTGATGATTGATTGTTTAGTGACGGCATGCCAGTTCCAGTCCCATCACTCGACGGCCTACCCCATTTTTTGAAACTCAATGAGGCGTTACCGAGATAGGTATAATTTGCATCGCTAGCATTTTCTAACCAACATTGAAAAATTAAAATATAAGAAATAATTCATATAATCTGTTTATTGGGAAACCCAACATGTCCTCTCTCGCCTACCTATTTCACAAGAAATTTTGAAATTCACTGTATTGTTGAGGAGTGACCTTGTACATCCAACATAACACTAGTATTGGATCAGATTTATACAACACGGTCGACACCATTGAGACAACCCTTAKGCTCAAGGATTCTCACTGACAACACGGCCGCTCATGTTGTAAACATWACTTAACATAAAAAAATAATCTTACGTTTTATCCACAAAACGCCATTTGTAGCATTGATGCTAGCATTATCCTTCGTACTGCATTTATATGGTACCCCGGCCTTGAGTGATATGTTGTGTACTGAGCCTTTTGGAGCAACAATCTGAATAACGCCTCCTGCACCTCCACCGTTGCCTGAAAATTGGTCTTCAATACCTACTTCTGGAGAGCTGGCATTGCTACCATCCACTTTCAACGACGCACCATTTTCCATTTGTACCTTTGTAAGTAAGGATTAAGGTTTCATGGAATACTTAAGCAGAATAGTTTTAGCATTCTTTTTCTTTAAAATGGGTATAATAATTATATAAAAAAAAATCGCTTACATTACCTGTTTAGCAATAAGTCGTATCAAGCCTCCTGAACATCCAGTCGAAGCTATTTTCAAATTTAAATCAAGAGCAGCGCTGGCAGATATCATTCCACCTAAGGGAAGATCAAACAGCCTTTTTTTGAGTAAAATTCATAGCTGAAATAAGTTTAATTATAATAAGAACTTTAATATGGAGTATACATCCTTTTAATAAGTCCCAAGGTATTGTGTTCTCCGCACTTAACGTCAAATTTATTCTTTTGAATTCCTTTTGTATTGTAAAAATTTCAAAAGAATAAATTTGACGTCAAGTGCGGAGAACACAATACCTCGGGACTTATTAAAAGTGTGTATAGTACACGTCCCCGTTGATTAGCTACARCTAGAAAATAGCGAAACTGATAACTGATGTGTAAATTGATTGTTTATTCTATTGTTTTCTATCGTAGGAACGATGCTATTCCCGGCTGTACTGGAATAGTCAATAGATGGTCGAAATARTAGATATGTGCGCTCATGCTCTGTGGGTATAGCGGCATTTGAATGCTCCTGTGGMAACGTGGATACGATTCGAAAACAATCTCCGTGGAAGACAAGAATACCGAAAAGCAGTTCTATTTCTTACCAATAATAAGATTTCCTTGCTCTGCTTTGATCTCAATGGCTCCTCCTCCAACGCAAGCACTTTGTTCTTTCTTACTATAACCTAGATGATATTAGTGTTTCATTAGAGTCAACGCACTTGTACCGTGAAATATAATCAGATAAACAGTAACTATTAGTGTCTATTTACAGTAGATATCACTCAACCAGAACAATTCATGAAAGCAAAATGCTCTCTCTATACACAAGAGTCTTGACAAGTGCACAACTTTATTTCATGTGGACGCAATCCGCATTTATTTGGTTTTGTAAATCAAAATATAATTTTTTTATGTATTCAAACGTTTTTTATTTCACTTGTACACATATATGCAAAGTGCAATTTTTTATGCCCTTTTAATAAATGCGACTTGTCATGAAGTCTGCATTTAACACAAGTTCTAGCCCGTTTCTTTCCTTTGCGTTTAGCAACTATACCGCTGACAATGAATAATATAGAGGGTTTAGTCACTATACCTGCACTCCCTCCCGACATGCACTTCAAGTCGTATGTGCCGTATGGTCGTGATAATTTAGTATGAGATGGTCGTAATTTATCAAAATATTCATTCCTTCCACCAATACCACCATGTGAACCACCAGGGAGACATTTATCCGTATACGAAAGAACACTACTACACTCGTCTTCTTCCCATTGAGGGCCTTTTACTGAAAAGACATATAATAAGTGAAAAACAAAACATGACTTCATTATGAATAACTCATTTCATAGTCTCAGTTTCTTAGCGCAGGCGGGATTTCGTGCACGCGAGGAGATCGTGCAATGTTTGAGGCTTTAACGAGAGCTCTTATCAAAATGTACCCCAAAAAAACTTGAAACTCGAAAACTAGTGTCCGAAAAGTTAGCCTAGTAATTGTAAAAAACAACTTGCAAAATGTAAAAAGTAAATGCAAAACAAGCTTACATTGTATTATAGTGGTACATACTATTAGTAGTAATTGATTGATTTACTTTTCAACTTCACTTTACTCCAGAACCCTCCTTTTTCAGTAAAACTTACACATTACCATGTCACTGCCACTGTTCTAATGGTATTGATTGTAACGTTTTATAGACATTCTTTCAATAGCAAGATAGTGAGTTTAAATGACATTGAAAAAAAAATAAAAAACAAAGAAAATCGAATTGCCTGCAAATAGAAATTTTAAGATGCACCTCCTGGGTAGGGTGTGTGGGAAAACAAAGGCAACAACTGTACTAAAACCGATCTGATCAGTATTCCATCAACGGGCAGACTACAGAGCATAACTGGCTGTTATGTGGTCATATGTGAACATCAGTATAMGTAATGAACCCACCCTTGTCGCATGAACGAAAGTTAAACATCATGGATTTAAGGTTAAAACGTAGAGCAGCCATTCWAATTACATTTTACTTTTGTCATCGAAATACCTGCATATAAGCCGCTGTATTGACAATATTTTGCTTCAATGTAGGCACCCAAACATCTCTCTTTTCCAGCAGTTCTTCCAACGATGCATTTCATTTCAATAGTGGTGTTAATTATAATATTTCCTTTGATGCTTTCAATAACAAGGGAACGATTTCCAGTTATATTAATTTGTGATCCACGATGAAACTTAATACTGCCTTGTATGGACAAAACTGCTACGTCCATCGCACCTGAMTTAYTAGCAYTGCAATTRCGGACTRTTACATTCAAKKTATTCAATGGAAATCCAACAATTTCATAAGTGAGGTTCTCAGTGTTAATCTTCAAAGTCWTTCCGCCTGTAACTTCTAAGTCATCTAAAGCACAAAGAAACAAAGGTGGTTAGCTGAGATTATACGCACTATTTCTGTAAAAGAGTCAGCAAATATTCGATATTTGGATTAAATGACCACTCACAAGCGAATTGAAACGAGGCTCAGAGGACTGACAATAAGTACAATAGATAATTTCCTTGAATCCCCAGAGCCTCGTCTTATATCGAATCGTCGGAATATCGAATGTGGGATATTAGACAGATAGTAGACTACGTACATCCGGTTTATTTTCAAAATTAACTCTCAGACCTGTTTACGGGTAAACGCGCTGGATGAACCATGGGCCCACTGGATAGGAAACTTCGGGTCACGTGACGTAATTTGCGCACGCTGATTGGTCAAATGCTCATTTCAAGATGGAGGAACCTAGTSCTTTTATTATCCATGGATGAACTCAGGTTAACAGATAGTGGTGATCAAATTTGAAAATCATTCAGGCTAAAATTTTTTCACAAAAATAACCATTCCAAGCTGAAATCTCARAGTAGATCCTAATTATTAACCTTTAAATTATAAATGAAAAACAGTACTTAGAGCACTATTTATCGTCCGTTCCGAAATTCAAAAAGATATCGACTGGTGACTAGTAACAAACTCGATACCGTTTGAAGCAATCAAAAAACAGACACCAGGACAAGAAAGAGCAAACTAAAATTAGTAAAGCGTTTAAAACTCGAAAAAAATCGGCCCGAAAACCATACATTCGATCTCTCTTATTTTTACAAATTTGAAAAAAAATCCTACTCGGTGAATATTCAACCAAATATGCTCAAACTTGACAAGAACACTTATKTTAGTGTAGTCTTTCATGCGGTGAGATTCAGTTTTCGATGAATGTAATATTTTCACACTCGTTCCCAGTCTCCTTTTGAATTTCGGAATGGCCAATTCATTGGCGGATCTAGAACGTTACAAAGGGGGGAGAGGAGGGGGTATCTAACTCATGAAAAGAAATAGTAATAGGGTAAACACTGTTTCAATCCAAATTGAATTCAATTCTTTTTTCTCTGTTCATATCATAATTTCTTTTTCGATATTTTGGGCTAGACATACTCTCCCTGGATTGCTCCCCCCTGGATTCGCCCTCGAAGCATGAATATGTATGAACTGTACTTCATACAAAAATGGCCACACCTAACAATGAAAAACTAATTAAATTTTTCTTACCAAAAAATAAGAACCCATTTAAGAACCCTAGGTAACTTTCCAGTTTTTGCACCATTCATATAAGAAACAGTTTTGTAAAAAGAAAGATTTAACACAGTAAAAAAGTAGGTGAAATAACTTACTGACGTTTCGGACGTTAATCCCTCGTACTTTTTTACGGTGTTAAATTTATCTTTTTTACAAAACTGTTTCTTTAGAAACACCGACGCAGTTCACACTAGTTTACCGCTAGCATTTCATAYAGAACATGTTCAGGCCGACTTTGCAAAAAATYAAKAAGTTTTCCTCGGTACGGCGAGATTTAACTTTAAAAAGTGAGAATTACAAAACAAAGGGAATGCGTTTTAACAGGTAAATCGTTTGCACTCTATGGAACAAAATATCAGAAAACAATATAATTCATCAATTTAGATCATTTTAACTTATGTGCTAGAGATTCCATTCAGCCTTTTCACGCCTTTCCACTAAAAAACAAGGTACTCTGGAAACCGACAGTACTTGATGTGCGTCTGAGAAGCAAATTCATATTTTGATGAATTCTAGTCATGTCCGTTTGCACATTCTTTCCACCTGCAGGATATATGATAATTTTTTAGTGTTATATTTGCATTCAGTAAAAGGCTTTTTTATCCAAACGTTTCGACCGATTGTTGCTGTATTACTTTCCGCTCAGTCACGATAATTGCTCTTGAGACTGATTTAAAAACACACCTTAAACTAAGTCTCAAAAGAAACCGTAGAACTTATCKCAAGAAAACAAACATACTATAACTTAAGACATAAAAGTACTACGATAACGGAAACATATTCAGACGAAATAAAGGATAGTAATGTACAATGCAACACCTTTTCAGAAAAGTAGAAAATCGAGTAGATTTCATTGCATTTTATTTCATATCTTTTCAGTCAATTGTTTTCGTTTGCAGTAATATTCATCATTCGTCACCATGCAATAATTACCCATATGGAGTGCATACGTTAGCATTTCTAAATACTTATTTATAGAGTTTCCATCTGCTTCAGCAACAGTAGTACAGCGATTCCGTCAGCACCAGAAAACGATTTTGCTGTTTTTGTTAATTCTTTGCTACTTCTTTGACTGGGATCGTTGATCCTTAGGAAATTAAGATCAATTCTCTTTACTTATAGCATAAATTAAAAACCCGGGACAGAAAGTCGTGCAATCGAAGTACTACTGGTCTCGAAAGAAAAATTTTGATATTTCATAGTAGTTTGCAACTAAAAATTACCATAATAACTCTTATTCAAAACAGACCACGATGTCCTAAGTTACCACGTACTGGTAAACATCTACATGTTTTGAAGTTAAACCAGTTTTCCTTACTCTAAATTTTATCAAACTCTCGTGACATTTTTAAAAGCTGGGAAAATGGAATATTATGCATCAAATTGGGTTTTACTTGGCCGGGACTGCTATTTAGAACGAACTCCAATGTCTCCAATTATAGCTATATTTAGACAACTCTGCCCGTTTCATAGGCTTTCCTTAATTTCCTATCGCGACCCACAGTGAAATAATAAGGATACCCTTCCGGACTAAATTTCCTCGGTCAAGGAGCAGGTTGAACCGGAATGCCATCGTTTAGTTCAATTTTCTTTTAATTTTAATCTAAAAACTGTCTTCAAACTTGACAAGTAACTTATTACAACGTGCAGCATAACATCAGTWATAACCTTAATTTTTAAATATTTCATGAACATCATGAAATATTAGTCAGCTAAATGGAGAGAAGATTGAGCAATTTGCAGCGGAGAAGAGCAAAAAAAAAAAAAGAAAAAAAAAGAGAGAGAGAAATTTAAGTCGACGAAAAATAGTCAGACTTATCGATTAGCACTCGAGTGCGATTCTCACTGAATAATAGACGGATTTTGATAGTCGTTAATCGCGAAAACGTGATGCTATATTCAAATCTCCAATTTATAATTTAGACTACCCAAATCAAACTGTCTTTTGCGCAATTCTTAGGTCATCGAGCACTGAATATGTGAGAAGCGGACCCGACTTTGTAGAAAAAGAGAAAGCTCACATATGTCAAAAAAACCCATCTGTTCTGAATGTACTTTGTTCAAATTCTACCAAGTAAATGCCTAATTTTAAGTATTTTTCGAGTGATTTATGGAAAGTATTAAATTTCCTTGAGTTTCCTAGTAGTAAGTGTCGAAGTAAGGTGTTCGGTCGCGATGCATTTATCAGTAGTGTTTTCGCTTATTTTTCAAATGAAATGCAGGTTAATTTATTTGAGAACGCCTAAATGACCAGCTGAACAACTATTACATGTAAGCAATGAGTCCGAAACCTTCAACTSTTCCACAGTAATTATAATCTTCAATTTATGGCTGTGAACAAAAACAATCTTTAGAAAAGACATCAAGTTCTTCAATGCTTAAAATGCGGAGAAAKCGCATCTTTTTTACAACACAAAAGAAATAATTATGTATGTATTYGATATCTTGTTTAAATTGTGCAGAATTAGATGTATAAAGACGACAAATTAAACTAGAGGAAATTAAAAGACTTAAGCTTACKCACATTGTGGATCGGCTTGAACAACTGTTAAAACCTGAAAGTATAAAAATAATATATCATGCCGAGAAAAGAACAGAAAGACGAGGGAATAATTTGAAAAGTTAGACTATGACGGAAAGTTTTTCAACTAATAAAAATAGTGAGTTTATGTGGGCTTTAGTAATGCGAGAACTATAATAAGAAATACTATAAAAGCAATTTAACAAGTATTCTGTTTATAGGATTTTCTAACAACAGCAACAAACCTTTAATGTCCAAAAGCACAAAGACGCGAACCAAACACTGMGTTTGTGCGACATCACCAGACTTTGTATCAAGAAAAATACTTCTTCATATAGCGGGAGACGAACCAGTGTAAATTTAAGATGAATTTAAAAAAACTCGAATGTGAATAGATGGCTAGTGTCCAATCTACTGTCGCTTGTCAGAAATTCCTTTCACCTGCYCCTAAAGTTGGTTAATGGCAGTGGATCACTAGGAACACAAATACTGTCAATTGCCAAATCTTGAATTTCAAATAAATTGCCTAGCCTTGTGCAAACAATGGATTTTCACCATAACAGAGAAAACCCCATTATTCTTTGTATGGGATGGTAATCTTTAACACCTTGAGCAAGTTCTTAATGCACTTTTTTTGATCAAAGAACAAGGTCATCGCATTGAGGTAATAATCGACTTTAAAGACGTTTCTTGGCAACAAAGACATGATCCTTTTAATTTTCTACAGACGAATTTATTTGCTTTAAGTTTGTCATCTTGCGAGAGCATATTCTAKAAATTTTCCTTTTTCCTRCGCTYCCATTGGATGAAATCTCATGACGTCAGTTATTTTTTTAAAATCGTTAATACAAGAAGTAAATAAATCGTTTTTAACGCACGAAAGCAACTTGACAGTGAACCCTTTAAGAGAGACGTTTTCTAAGGACAGTTGGTTCTGTTAGACATATACAGATAAAACCGATTACTCTTGACGAAATTGTGTATAAACTATGAAGCTCAATAAACTGATGACGATGAAACTTAGAGTTGTCTAATACTAATCRTTGTAATACTAGTGTAAAATTAACAATAAAAATATCAGTGATAAAATGATGACGGCGATGAAAATAATTGCCTAATTAATAATAACAACTGCTGGCAGAGATGCAGTTTCTAAAAACCTTTGTACCTTGAAATACACTGACATCCTTTTTTAATTAGTGAAATTTCTTCAGACGAGACTATGGTCACACACACACGCAGAGTGCTRTATTGTCCCTCGCTACATGAATCCAAGGATAGTACATCGATGGTACAATATTTTCCCTCTCTACAAACCTTTTTTCCAATCAGACAAAACAAATTATACATACAATTAATATCCTATATATTAACACTGTATTACTAACTAGTACTATTACACTTTTTTCCATTTTCTTTTCTTTTAATATATTAAAAATAGCTTAATGTACAAATAGGAAGGCACGACAAGCAAAGTACGCAAAAACCTTACTAATCCAAAGACATTGCACATTATAAAAAGTCAGGCATATAATGATCAACAACCGCAACAAAAACCGAAAAGAAAAAAAAAACAGGAAACGACTTCCCTGAGTTCGTATATCTTCTACAAAAGTTAGATATCTCTTAGTTTACACCATGTTGTTGTGGCTCTCAACGTGTTTTTATTTAGGGGACACTTTCTCTTCAGTATTCTTAAATCTTTTAACTAATTTTTTTAACATTGAAAGGGAAATATACAGAATATTTTTATCTCTGATTTGTATAAGTAAAACTTATATAATAACAGAATCGAACAAACCTATGATCTCTGGCTATAACTATATTTTATTGTTAATCTCTATTYYATCGTTTTATTTGTATTTYTTAMTTTTTAAAGCGTTTAGAGAAAGCTATATAAACGCTATATTTAAGCTTTATATATTACTATYATTTCATGAATCCAGGATAGTACAATATTTTCCCAAGGGTCARTAAAACATCCAGCATRTATCGCGCTATGTATATAACTTTCCARCCAGAAATTTATACACAGTTTTTCAGGGATATAATGAATTCAGTAAAGTAGTGATCTATATCTATATTTTGTAATACTGTAATTGATAATAGTTTTAACTTGCAATTAGGAAGGAGATATGTTTCGCAATTTTTTTTGAAAAAAGGCAAAAATAACTCTATCTATAAAATTAATATAAATCCATGTCGTAATTTGCATAATATTTTGATAATTGCTTATTTTTTTCAGTACAGCCTTTTGCAAAAATTATGAGAATTGTTGAAATATCTAAATATCATAATATCAAGTGCATGATCCCGCGTGATGCCCTTAGTCCCTTGTCTTTGTTGTTTAGTTTTTTTTGGCGACAGACTTATCCGTAGTTTCTGAACATTTTCTCGATGTCAACAATGAATTATTCTAGCAAACCCGCGTGTTCCGGACAATATATGGATATGGATATTATGATATTATGATATTTAGATATTTAGACAATTCTCATAATTTTTGCAAAAGGCTGTATTCAGGTAATATTATAATTAAGCATACCAGCAAAAACATTTAACAATTTCTGCTGGCTTCAAAGAGGATTTTTTAACCGCTTTTTCAGTGRAAATTACCAACAATGCAACCGATATACGTTTTTAAAGATGTTGTTTATTTTTCATTGCATCATATATGAAAAATATCCGCATTTGTGTATGAAAATATGGCCAAATACAGTGAATACAAGAAATGATATAGTCAAAGCTATCGTACGAASTGTGATAGAGAGATGACCAAGATAAAAGTTATAATAATTTTTTTGGTATATGGGATGATGTTGCGTATTAAAAACATCATAAAAATAACTAATTTAAAAGCAAGATGTCGAACGGAGCCATGCAATAATTGCTTTTTTTGGTCTATCATAAGCCTTATGCTAAAACAATTCAACGTCATGGCGTGCCCTAGCCTTATGGGCTTTTACCTATATTAGTTTGTTTTTTATGTGGGACCGAGTTGTCTAGTTACGTAATCAACAAAGTAATAGATAGATCAGTAGAATATTGTAATAGAACAGAAGAGAAAAGAAAAGCTGTGAAACAAGGCATATAAAGGCCCGTAGGTTGCATAGGAGAACTAGCCGAGATTGTCAGTCAGTATATGATGGTAACAGCACTACGACCAAYATGGCAACACGAAAAACTAAATCGAATTAATCATCACTGTTTAGCAGCCAATTTGAGTTAATTGTTCTTGTAAGCAAATGCAACACGATCTTTGACAGACTTTTTATTATACAACTAAACGATTTTTTTTYCATTAATAAGTCCTTCCTGTGCAAAACTTACAACTTCCCTGGTTGAAATTAGGCCGGCTGGACCTTGTCGAGGCAGTACGCGCAAACCGCACTGAAATGCTTGATTATGYTCGYGTTGTTATTAAAACCAGKAATTACGAAAAAGATACCGATCTYTATSACAAAGAGAATCTGATATGAACGTAAGATTYACAACGACAATACACTTGGCAAAGTTACTTTTTACAACTTCCCCACTAATGTTTCTTAGCACTAAGAAATGGGGGAAAAAATAAAGAAAAAAATAGACATTGTGAGTTTCTACTTCCTGGTTACACGTTTTCACATGCGTAGKTATCCTTCATAGATGGCAGTGGTAGCCAATAGGTAGATTTTGAAGTAGGAAAGAGTGTGTCTTTAAGTAAGTACAGTAGTGATACATATGGATAGGTTTGTATTAGTATGTAAATGTAACTATAGACAGACAGTTGGGCGTTACTTGTCGCGCTGCTCAAAGATTTTCAGCCTTGCAGCCCCTGAACACATCTTAGGGTGTCTCGTTTAGGGGACGACAAAAACAGTTGGAGCTAGGCATAATGTTTTTCACAGCTACCTCAGATACCGCGCTACATCTAGTTTCAGCTCCGCTTTTTGCATTCAAAAATCATCCAAGTTACTAAGAAATTCAACCAAGGAAGCAATACCTATATTGGTATTAATAAACTCGGTAAACGGTCCTCGGTTTTATTTAAAGAACTTTACTAATATTGATCTAAAAACAGTGACAACCTGTCGACCATTGAACACACTCGGTAAAGATTCTGTTACGTAATGATTTAATTTATAATGTCGATATGCGTGAAGCTCTTTCGCCTGTGAGWCATTGTCACKTCACTCATTGGACTAGCACGAATAACGCTGTACAGTATCAATTATTTTAATCCTTTATTTCATACTACGTTTTTATATACAAGTACGTTTAGGCAACCTCGATCCGCAAGAACAGTGAACCAGAAAGATAATTGGTGGAARAAGTCAAGATTATTAACAAAAGCAATAAAAAATCAAATAAAAAGCGCATCAAGTACAATATCAGTACTTTTGGATTTCCTTTAAAAAAAAACACAAAAAAACTCGTGTTTAAGAATTAAAAAAATAATGAATTTCCAAATTTTAATATCAAAATGGAAGATGTCAATACATCATTCACTGTTAAAATGAGATGCATTGAGATCACGTATGCCTTGCAGTTTACTCAGTTCCTCTTGGTTCACAACCTTAATTCGTATGATTAATAACTGATCAGATCTATTTACTCACACACAAGCACGTTTCAATTTCAAATCCGTTTCTTTTGAATGGTCGAAGTGGACTGGGATCTATTTCCTATTATATAACGCCTATTAAATATCCACCCACAGTGCAGTTCGGTCGTGCAATACCAGCTATTCTTACCACCAAGTACTTTCAACTACAGTACGAGATTGCCATTCATGCAAATAATCGCAAATCTCTTTCAGTATTTTGGTTATAGTTGGATACAAGATTTGAACTCCTGCTGTTTTCAATAACGCCGCATAGCAGATAAGCTCACTTTCAACATCTCACATTTAAATGAAAATCTTTAATCTTCGCCTTTGTCCACAGACCAGCAACTGATTTTTGATATTTGAACATCGATCACATCTTTAAATATCACTTTTGAATTACTTTGCTTTTGTCAGTGAAAAGACGTAGAAAATTGTCTTGTGAAATCATTGCACCGAACAGAAAATGAGAACTGATTTTTAATAAAATGTCTCACAGATTAAGCCGGTCTTTTTCAGACAAACCGCGGAGCACCATTTAGATTAAGTGGCATTCTCAATGTTTACATAGGTGAAGACAGTTCAATTTTTAAGATGGATGGCTTCTACTTTTAGATTTGGATAGCAAGTACTTATATTCTGAAGGCCCAGAAATTTTTTCCATGGCTTAATTCCATTTTATTTCAAAGCGAAATGTTAACGACTACANCGGGGCGAGATGTCAATTCATCAGGGGTCGCAATGACCCCTGGGACTTCTGCTGGAACTTCGGTAGGAATCTACATACAAATTCAAACAGCTGTTAGAACATGTGAATTATAGGCACGACAATAGAAGTCCTTACCTCAAGCTCGGTGCGAGATGCGGGGGTTGTGAAGACACCCACCTCAAGTTCGTCGTCGGGCAGGTCCTTTGCGCAATCCCAACAGTCCAACGCAAAGGGCAGTGGAACATGACAGATGGAACATTCGTGATCGTCCGTCTGGCACTCTGCGGCCCTCCGCTCCACCTCGAAAAGTACAAGAAAAGAAGCATGAATAACCCAGAGTTAATTATCACAAAGGACAAACATATTATGTCCACATTGAGCTCAGTTGATGTAAGTTGTAATCAGGTATGATTCATACGAACGAGACTTGAATTATCATCACTGCTCAAAGGAAAGAACATATCCTTCTAAACAATGATTTTTACCTCGACATGAACAGAAACGTTAACTATTCTCAGTGTTGCACAAATCCTCCTCCTCTACAGACAACAAGAACTACAAAACAAGGAAAGAACTGGTTACAAGTTTGAATTGTAAGCTTTGCTCTTGGCAGTTAGGAAATATATGTCATTTGACTTCAGAACTCACTTCATTTCCTCACAAAATTCAGTACAGGTCTGTGGAATACTCATCATTTGTCAAATGACATTTTAATCTAAGTATAGAAGTCAACAATAAACAAAACAATAATAAYATCTCAAGAAGGAGCAACAATCCAAGAAAGTATCAAAAGAAGATATGAAATACATGTAGGAAATGATCCTGACAGCAGTTACAGAGAATGGTTATTCTACTTTCTTTCTTTACTTTTTGGTCATAAAAATCTTAATCAGGATTGTAGCTTAACTCTTTCATTTGTTATATCATTATATCTTTTAGTTCATTTACTACAAACAGCATTAGCTCAATTATTATTGATAAACTGATTTTCATTATTAAATAAAGACTTACCAAGATCGCAGGAAATTAAATGTATTTATTACATCATTGTGTCCATCTGTGAATACAGGAGTAATAATAATAATAAGAAACATAGTTACAGACAATCCATCTTGACCTAATGTTAGCTACTAAATACATTTGGCCTCAGAAAGAGAGTTATGTGATCTACATTTAGTTCAGACATATGCTTGTCAAATGCACTCATCACTGGCCATTGTTGACAAATCTTCCTCAGTTTTTCCACTTGATAAACTATGACTTGCAACAAATTGCTGTTCAGTCAGTTGTTATTTGTTTTTTTTTTTAAAAAAAATCTCTTTACCTGACAATCAATAGAGCTGTTTTGCAAACTGATGCATCAGACTACAGAGACATCTTAAAAGCAAACACATAGAAACAACTTTATCTCAATTACTTTAACTATCAATTTAAATTAGACTTGAGTCATGTGCTTGATCTCACKGACAAATCTCCTATCTGTCRCAGATAGGAGTCTAACTATACAAGAACATGTACACAACGGCATGGAATGTTTTATTTCTCAGATCAACAGACCATAATATGAGAAACTTCTACATTACTGTCAAAGCCCATGGAAATTTCTTTTATCTTTTGTATTTAAGTYATTCTTTGCAATAATTAATATGTCACATGTGAATGAACAACACAGAATGAACAACCTTAGGTCACTCAGACTAACATTACAGAACATGTTTTTCTTCAACGCCATTGGCTCAAAGCGAGCTGGGATTATTCTAGTCATCACTGTGATCAATGAATTTATCTAACTTGWAAACAGGAATCAAAACTAAKTACATRACACATCATAAAATGAAAACATTACACTAACAAAAATCAAGACTGGATACTATATATTGTAAGTACTTGAAAGCAACTAATGTTTGATTAGCTGAACTTATTACTATTCCTAGAAACCTGTTTTAGATCCTGATTTATAAACTACTTATGAAAGTGACAACATTTCTTGTGATACAAGTAATAAACATCACTTACATTACAATCATTACATACTCCATGCTTGATTTTCAGTTSCTCTTTTGAGACTGGTTTCCTAGATAAATTGCACAACAAGTTTTAATTTTGTGTCCTCAATAAAAAACATAACTGATGTTAACAAACTGTGTACCAGTACAATAGAGMGGATTTCGTATGAGTGGGACACTGTTACCACACRGTTACCRSAYAGTTACCGGACCTGGCCTGYACAATTTTGGTGAACCAATGGKGCACTTGAATTTGGTTACAGTAAGATTAYGGYCACAGTACAGTACCATYCGTWTCCCACTTATACGAAATCCRCTCTACAGATCACTCAGACTGACATTACAGAACATGTTTTTCTTCAACGCCATTGGCTCAAAGCGAGCTGGGATTATTCTAGTCATCACTGTGATCAATGCAGTTCATGTATAGGTTGATTGAGCAACCGATTACTGCACATGTATAAAATATTTGTGCTTTTAAGTTAATCTATATAATATATAATGCACAAATGTACCTTTAGAGATTTATTATCAAACCATCATGTTAAGACGGACATGCACTGGTTCTGAAATTGATTTCAATAATAATAAATAATAACCCTCATTAAAACATTGCAAGGGGTATCATATGCCACACTATTGGTCTCTGGACGATAACGAGATCATCAACGATGTTCAGGCATATGCTTGTCAATTATGTTTCTTCACTGACCAATAACAGTTGTCACAGATATTTGTACAGCATTACTACAAACGGCTCATCCCTTAATTCATGCTTCCCCTTCTCCCCTTCCCTCTAAGTACTTCTTGATTTATAAAAAAATATTGCATTCTTCGCTTACACGTGCCATTCAGAGTAATTAGCTAGGATATTCATGGAACTATCACTATCATTCGGAGTCGGGCTTGAACACATTTATATTCCGTGTGGAGACTGTTTTTAGGGAACCTCAGGAAAAATGTAGCAAAAGATAATGGATAAGACCTCTTAGTCTATAAACTACAATGATAAGAGTTAAAATACCTAATAATGCGAACAGGGCATGGCTTCTTTATGGAGTGAATGCAGACACGCATCGCCCGCCACATGGTCCGAACATTTGACGAGGCAAGAATCATGTCATTTAAAGAATATCAAATACTACAATCAAATAAATCKATAAATAAACWTTTCACTAACAAATACTATAATCCAGCGATTGATTTTAAGCCTCAGATGATCAAAAAGACCCTGAAATTCTTCGAAGAACAAATATCACATACCTCGACCATGTGCTTCTTCTTTCTCAACCAAAAAAAACCTGTGGACTTATGGGTAATAATACCTGACACAGGAAGCCTACTTTTAAGAAAGGTCCCGGATGTAGGAGAAGGACTTTCCGAAAGTATGTATGGGCAGCTCCTGCTTCCTTAACGCATTCACTGATCTGATGCAACTCTTAAAAACTCAAGACCCATACATAATTCCTTGAGAAAACCTCAGAACGGGCCATGCAGTCCGAAATGACGAAATCTATGACCATCTATGCCCCTCCCAAGTAAGGAGTAAGTTATTACCAGCAAAGTGCCGATTTTGATTCTAGACTCTTTTATAGTAATATTACGTTATCAAATGAAAAAAACAACTCTTCAAAATGTTTGTTTTTCTGATTTTAATTGCAAGGTACTTTCATATCCGGACAGTTAACATTTGATGACAGGCTTTCCCATCTATACTAATTAGTTGATAAACCAGGATCTGATTGGTTCAAGAGATCACATTCGAGAACCGCGTCTCTCCAGAAGTTCACGAAGTTTTTGATAGTCTTCCACCTTTTTTCTAAATGATGGATAACCCTAAAAAATAGATAGTCGAACTAATGAAGTAACGAAATGATCAGTATTTATTTAACGAGCATATATCGATTGTATTGAGTAATAAATATTCATATCGGTTCGTGAAACGCCCTATGTAATATTGGCACTCACGAATAAAGATCGATTTGACTTTTAAGACTTACACGTTTGACCGCCACAYCACCCTTGCAGTTCCTCAAACCTCTTTTGCAAAGCCCACCCGAAAAGGCATCTCCTTCTCCAGCGAAAGTAACACAAACAACAAGAGCTACGACTAACCAGAAATCCAAACGAGTCATTACGGCCGGCCTAATAATATTGGGTATTACCTCAGTAGCAGGCTCAGTAGGAGTTCTGTTCTCTAAGAGTTTCAAGTTAAAGTGAGAGACTATGACATTTGGCGATCTTTTATTAGCTGCCCGTGAAAATACACTGTAATAGTTTTTTGTTTGTTCTTGTGGTACAAATTAAASTTGGTTTTTAAAAGACCTTAAAAAGTATGTCTTTTAAAGAAATCAAGTAGAGCGTCTTTCACTGAACAATGATGTACTTTATMTGTGTTGACATAACAGCCGTTTGTGCTGCTAGTCTTGCGTTTTCGTCCGGCAGTGAGGAAAGTACCGATTGCTTAGCGCAAAAGCGTTGTTTGCAATACAATACAATATTATATTTGCTTTACCCAAAAGATAACTGAGACACTTTTGCTTAGCAGCTTGTACTATTTAACCACTGAGGAATAGATATTGTTAAGGCCCGCTGCCGTTTACACTTGCGATTTTTGAAGCGCGATGGTCGCGCGACAACTCAAATCGTACGTGTAAATCGAAAATCACCGTGAGCTGCATGTTCGAAACTCAGACGATTTTCGCACGACAAAAAATCGCAAGTGTAAACGGGCCTCTAGATTTTACGTGACTTTGGCGCTTCACCTGCAGCTTATGACACGGACTGTGAATCCGTAGCGTTCTTGGATTCTGGATTCCAAACGCCTAATGAAAGATTTAGCATGGATCCTGGATTCCAATACGTCGGATTTAGAATGCAAAACACATCCTAGCTTTTTTGTCGTAACTTGTTTATATACTATTAGGAAACATTTGTAGTCACTATAGTCACTATAGTCCTTTTCAATGCCAAAATAGATGTTGAATGGTTTGCCGCTTCTACAAAGAAATCGTAAAAAAGGCTTTTAAGGAGATATTTTAGGGTCTATAATAAGTTTGATGACTACAACTACCATCATGCTTTGCTGCACAAAATGCCGTCGCTGCACAATCTCGTATCCAGGGCTTCGTTCTCTTTCGGTCGCCGACGAGAACTAGTTCAAGGTCTGGGTACGAGCTTGATATTGGTAGTCAGGGCAATTTTCCACAGGGAGCCCAAGCTCAGTACTTGTGTTGCTTTCACGACGGAGTCAATGCATTGCGTGGTAGGCGATTCGAGCTCTCAAGAAGCCGTAAATTTCTTCTATTCATTTTTCGAGACTTTTCAAGACTTCCTTAGTTCAATTTTTTTCTATAATAAGTATAATCATTTGTATGAATAAAGATTGATTCAGTAAAGCCATGCCGTATACTACCAGAAAATATGAAACTGTTTCTTTTTTTTAATAAAAAAAAGTTGAAAAAAAAAATAGTTTTATATGTTTTCATGTCCTCATTGACTTTTAAAACGTTTTTTTCGAGTGCGTGTTATTCACTCAATGTTCATGCACGTCTGCTACAGATCTTCGAAAACAAACAGCCCTTGTTTATGAACCATAACGCTTGAACACATCATGCATGCTGTTATTATATTTTGTAAATCAGGCCAGTTTATAGGAGACAGGGTGTCCCTAGGTAGTATTCGACTTTTGCGTCACTATTTCTCAAATGCGAATTAACTAAAATGAATATAAGACTGCTGTGAAAGCAGGTATAAAATGTATTTAATCTATGTCTGTCCGTTTTGAATCGTGGCAAGTAGGAGTTTTTGCGCTTGTTAAACGCAGTTTATGCTAATGAGTAGGATTGCTATTGATAGCAGTAAAAAACGAGCTCTAATACGTTTTCGCGGCTTTTCCCAATGTTCTTTGGTCTTTTGAGGAGATTCATCATGGCACTAAAAATAATAAGCTTCTCTTCATTTATCAACCATAACTGACATGCCTTAACGCTTGAAGCTGAGAACGAACTGACAAGAGAAGCCGCTTCGAGCAATTTCGATCATAAAGCATGTTTTGCGCAAAACTCCATGAAATCATTTAATATTATTCTCCATGATTTTGTGTTTTCGGTGTTTTCATATCTTGTCGGCTTTACTCGTCTTAGCTAAAGATCTTCACTTGAAAACAAACGCCCCTTGTTTATCAACCAGAACATCACCTTAACGCTTGAACACATCATGCATGCATTTATTGCATTCTAAAAATAATGTTTTAATATTTTATACGTGTTAGTGCTTATGTTTCCATGGGGCGGGGTGTCCTTATGTAGTAACTATACGAGAGCTAGCGCTACTCCCGAAAACTAAATTCCGAATGCTTAATTTTTCTCGGCACATTACAAGTGCCCTTTGGTCTTTTGTAGAGGGACTAAAAGCACTGACTTACCCTACGTTATCAACCATAACGTACCTTAAAAGTTACCGCGGCAAAGAACGAGAGCTATTATCCTGATTATGCGCACGGACGCACTACGTCAATCAACCATAACGTCGCAGCAAATACCTTGATGGATTGAGATCATCCTAGTAATACCGCGCTGTGGATGGGTCCGTTTTTGGTCGAACGTCAATATAACCTGTAGAGTCTGTCTTTTGGTCGAGGGTCGAGGGTCGAAAGTCGAGAGTCGAGGGTAGTTGGTCGAGGGTCGGGTTTTATATGTAAAGTTTGATCTCTTTCGCGATTATTCAGGAATGCAATTATGCTTTCTCAAAAGAGTTTAGAGT